TTTCCAATAATAATAACTTTTTTTTTTCTGGGTTAAGAAATATCCAATTAAGAATAGTCTCCGTGGTTTCATCGATGCACTCTGTGTCACAGTGTGTCATTTTAACAATCTAAAATGAAAAAATTCTAAATGCAAAAATAAATTATAGTATGGCTTGTTTACAGCACAATTATAGGCATAAAAATCAAAAAATGCAAAATAATAAAAATAATAAATGAGTAAATTAGGAACTTACTTATTTTATTTAAAAAAAATATTTGACGTAAAAGTTTTTGTTAATTTTTTTTTTTTTTTAATTTGAATAAGAAAGTACAATTTTAATCAAATAAAACAAATTACTGGGATCACTAATACTAACATATTCTTCAAATGAGCCCTCAAATGCGTTCATAGAATCTTTATTCTATAAAATTCTCACTTTGCTCGCTTTCTAATAAATTAAACAATTCAGGATTCATTTTCAGCTCCTTAGTTTTTCGGCATACTCTCAAACGTGCTATAGCCGGATCTGAAATAATCAAATGCTTGTTTAATAAATCCTATTATTGATATTTTCGTCGTACATTGTTACCTATGCTTCCTAATGTGTTTATTTTGAGCCTCTTCCGAATATTGTCCGATAGGAACAATGCATGTTTACATAATTTCTCAGCCATGAAAGAAAGTTTTATGAAGGCTAACAAGCAGTGGCGGATTAAGACTTCTTAGGGCCCGGGGTTATTTTTGTTTTTGGAGGTCTTTTTATGAGCCAAAGCCTAAAAATAACTAAAAAATAAAAAAAAAGGTCCTCTAAAATATTCGGGGGTTCTAAATTTGCGGGGCCCGAAGCTATAGCCCTTCTTGCCCTTACCTCTTGATCCAGCACTGCTAACAAGCATAGGATATCATACATATTGTTAATGTATAGGCCTCGATTTTCTCTTGCGTAGAGTTTGAATTTATCCAAATTGATTTTATGACATGAGTTTATGAATTCTAGAATAATTCCTGAGCGCTTAACTAAGTGCACGGCTGTTACCTCAGTTGACTTCGCAGCATTCCTAAAAAATTTACTTTTGGTACATCAATTAAAAAAATCAAAAACGATAAGTTTAGTGGTGAATTGGGTACCCCAATTAAAAGATCCAATTCGCCTCTAAACTTATCGTGGATTTTTTTTTTTCTTTTCACCCTATGTTTTTTTTTTTTTTTTTTTGTTCTTTAATTTTACAACTTTGTGATTTAATAAATATTCGTTAACAATGTATATATATATACATGATCGTTATTAAGAAATAAAAGAACGCGGGAACTCGTAGAAGACCGTAAGGTCTTGTCGTCGAGAACCGCTAAAAAATTTTCGTGTTAATATTTCGTATTAATAAAATATTCTCAAAATAAATAAACTTTCAATAGGAATATATACTTAACATACTTGAAGATAACAAATAATTAAGAATTAAGAATTGAAAACATAAACAAATTTAAAGAAAAAAAGAAAAAGAAAAACGGTTCCGTTATAAATACATAGATGCGTTATACAGTTTTAAGATATCTTTAGCACAATTGTTAAACTTTTTGTTAAAGGTTTTGTTATACAGTTTTAAGATACCTTTAACAAAAGTGTTAAACAACTATTTACAAATTGTTAAATTATAAAATTTATTAATGCAGTGTTAAATATAAAGTTAAAAAAAGAAACAAAAAATTAAAAGAATATAGATATATCATCTAATAAAAAAATGGCTTTTTTAAGTTTTTGTTTGAAAGAGTGATAGCTAACTTCTTTAGAAAAGTCAAAATTCTTTAAAACTATTTTATTCCAAAGTAATGCTCCTCGAAATGAAATACAGTATTTTCCAGAATTAGTTTGATAAGCTGATTGACGAATATTATTATCATTTCGTAAAATGTACTTAGTTTTTTCTTTTTTGTTATACAAATTATGAAAAGGTACAGGAGAAATATTGTTTTTACATTTAAACATAAAACATATAACGTTAAAAATATTAAGCTCATATATATTTAAGACTTTCATTTCAATTAATAGAGGCTTGGGATGAGTAAATCGATCCTTAAAATTAATAAGGCGTGCAACATGTTTCTGTTGACGATAAAGAGGTTCCAGTTTACTTTTATTAGTACTACCCCACGCAATGTTCGCATAGTTAAATTGTAAATTTAACATAGTTGTAAATTTAACATAGTTGTAAATTTTCATTCTCTCTTGCTCGCCATTTTTTTATTTCTAAGCGGTATAAAATGTGAAAGTACATTCAACATTTTAAATTCAGGCATGACGAGGCAATAATCCAAAAGAAAGATGTATTTCTATGATTAATTTTAGTAGGTTCTGCACTACACAAGTAATAGCATTGTGTGGAAGAATACAATGACAGCACATTGCAAACTTTTCCGTCTATCATGCAATGTATTTTCGTTGGTATTGTAGTTACTTCAAGATATGCGAGAGATACTTTGGTGAGCAAAAGCATTTCAATTTGCTGATTTATACCATTAACTTCTTTAGCTATTAAATCTGTTTATTCCATCTCGAAAACAAGTTTGATGGGTTGACAATACATAGTAGATGATGTGACAGTGTTTTTCCAAATGTTAGCTCTGGTGTCACCTATATCGTAGAAAGTTTGTATCGGAACCATAGAAGCTTGTAGAGGCATTTCTGGAGCTTATAGAGGTATTTCTGCTAATGTTTTTGTTATAATAACTTCTCAAGGTTAACATAACAACTTGAACTCTTTAACTCTGTGGTACGAAAGGTATAGCTTGCATTTTAAGCTATTAGCTCGCTCGCGAATTTGTTGAATGAACGAATTTATGAATGAATGACACAGCGTTAACTTTGGTTCAAAAATCTCCCGATTGCCAGTTTGCGCGTGTTTTCACACTTACTCTCATAGTAAGTAGAAACCATGTAAAAATAACATTAAAATTTTAAAAGACCAATCAATATCAAAAATTTTGCAAGTGGTTTCTATCGGTATAGACATTTTGCGCTAAACTTGAATTTTATTTATAAGAAAACAATGCGTATATTTATAATATTAATAATAACAATAATGATAATAATAATAGCAATAATAATAATAGCAATAATAACAATAACAATAATAATAATAATAATAATAATAATAATAATAATAATAATAAAAATATTTATTTGCATTAAAAAAATACATTAAAATACAAACGGGTGAGACAGGTAATCACAAGATTACGCTTATGTAACACCTGAACAAAAGTAATTTAATACAACTCGGTGTAGTTAAGGCACTTTTAAAATATTATAGCGTCTCTATGATATTTTGTTGACTAAGATATATTTCCGTAAAATGGTTTGGTCTGTGAATTATGAAAAAACGAAAAAAATTGAAATAATAAATTTTGCAGTATCATAAAATATAAATGTTTGTAGCGAAAAAACTCAGACCATGAAATCTTTTTTTTTCTTTTAAATCATCTTAAAATCACAATCGCTCGTTCAAATTTAAATAAGATTTTATATTAATACGTTTTTAAGGTGAGTTGAACATTATAGTTTAACAATATGATCTGTTCTGATAGTTTATTGGCAATTTTCCATAATTATAAGCTCTTTCTTGGTCGGAATTCCAGTATTTTTTGTGAAAATTGATAGAAATATTGTGTTTTGACAACTATATATAGTTAATATACGTCAGAACCGATTAGAACTAGGATCAGTAGCAAATTAAAGAACTTTTTTAAAAGATTTTAACTAAATTCATGTTAATCCCGATGAGCGGAATTGATCTAAAGACTCCAAAAAATAGTGTTCTTTAGATATATTATTACGGATAGTAAAAAGATTTTGAAAATTATATATAAAAAAGAAAAGTTTCTTTAAATAATATAAAAACCTTAAGCAAAAAAAATTATAGCATTTATAGATCTTATTTGGGCATAATATGCTGATAAAACCATGCTAATTCCAAATAAAAGTATTCAAATATTTTGTAAATCGCCAAAACTACACCGAGAATACGCAACTTTGTTGTAAGTCGTAAGTTTGTAGTTTTTTTTTTAATATGAATAATGAAGATGAATCGACAATGTGAGCAGGCAATGAATTCCATGTTTTTACAATTCTTTCACCAATGGTGAAATATACTAACTTTCGGTTACCGACTTTTAGAACTCAATCAAAAAGTTAGTATTTTTATACCAAATCATAAGGTTATGTTTTAACATATAATAAATAAGTTTTAACATATAATATTATCGAAATATATTATATGTTAAAACATAACTTTATGATTTGATATAAAAATACTCACTTTTTGATTGAGTTCTTAAAGTCAGTAACAAATATTTATTAAAAGCTGAAAACAATATATAATAATAAAAGTAATATAATAAAGAGAAAGTAATATAATATATTATAATATAATAATAAAAATAATATATAATAGTATAAGAAAAATGCCACAATCCTTATTTCAAAATAAAATAATTTTAAATGAAGCTTCAGACGCGCCACGTGCACAATTACTAAAGATGTCAAATTATTGTCTGCAAATCAGTAAAAAATTGCGCATGCTCAGAAGATTTATTTAGCCGCATTAGGTTAAAATAAAATCTTACGTCTGAAAACACTTCTGAAAACACTTCTGAAAACACGTCTGAAAAATATGGGTATATGCTATCGAAATATAAAACAACAACAACATAAAAAAAAACTTTGAGATAATTTCAAAAAATTTTTTTTTCTCCTAGATTATTAAAACGACACACTGTGCAACGTTGTAATTCTGATAAAAAATTAGGTTAATGTATCCAACTTTATTGCAACGTAAACCCGATGAAAAATAACGTTAGCATGACCAACTTTATTATAACGTTAGATTTAGGTCGATGTCGTTAACGTTAGGTCGATGTTTAGGTTGATGTCATTAACGTTAGATTTAGGTAACATAACTCAGAACCAAGAGGTTCGAGGTTCAATGCCGGCTCTAGCTCAATAAACGACATTGGTACGGAAGGATGTATGCATTTTCTTGTTAAATGCTTATCCACGGTGCTCTGCGATAAGGTTGTTACATCCTCTTAAAGTAACTTAATAACTAAAAAAATAAAACAACGTGTGCAATGTTTAATGAAATTCCAAAAATTAAGTTTATCTCTTTGTGATGTGATTAGAAATAAATCATAAAAAAACGTATTTTTTTTTTGACAATTTTTACACTAAGTTTCTTCATTTATTTTTCCAAATGTTATCTGTCAAACTTATTTATCTCAACTAGAGATAAATTGAAATTAACACAGCAAGCTCTACAAAAGATGTAGTTTTTATAAATATAAAAAGTTTGTTTTTGGACTGGCTCTAGCTTCTTGTGTTTTGGGTAACACATTATAGGAAAGGTCTTGGAATACAAACTTTGGATACTGGGAACGAATAAACATTAAATTTTTTTTTCCTGTCTACGGTTTATTATTAAATAATAAACTATAGTACTGTTTACGCGATATCCTGTTGATTTAAATATTTTGTGTCAGACATAAATCTTGTAAAATCGAAAATGTTTTTTTAAAAATTTCGACGTTCTACGAGATCACTTCGAGTTAAATGATCTAAAAAGTATATTTACTGTTAAATAAAATAGTAAAATAGTTTTAGCCTTTAATTTAAATAAATATCAAAGATGGAAGACCCATTTTTCGTCGTAAAAGAGTAAGTTTTATTGAAAAATATTTTTAACTAAATATTATAAAAGATATTTTATTCAACTGAAATTTCCATTATGTAAGAAATCTTTAATAAGTTTTAATATTTTTTTCTAATAGTAACTAAAGTTAAAGAAATTTTTTATTTTTTGTGTATCATTTTATATAGGGAATGGAATACTATGTAATTTAAATATTTGAGAAACTGTAACGACAAAAAATAGTAATTATGAAAATATGTGAGTGCTAAGGTAGTCTAACAAATCTTTTCAAATGTTTACATGAAATTAACTTAATATATATATATATATATATATATATATATATATATATATATATATATATATATATATATATATATATATATATATATATATATATATATATATATATATATATAAAAGCATTAAAACATCATATACGGTATCATACTATTTATTTATTTCTCTATAAGTGATATTTCGGCTCATATAGTGAGAGCCATGGCTATATGAGCCAAAAAAAGCTAATGGCTCTCACTATATGAGCAGAAGTATCACTTATAGAGAAATAAATAAATAGTATGATACCGTATATGATGTTTTAATGCTTATAATTACACATACTATTAAAGATGTCACTTAAATTTATATATATATATATATATATATATATATATATATATATATATATATATATATATATATATATATATATATATATATTTATTTAAAATATTAGACATAAAACAACAGCTAGATACAAACTAAATGTTTTCTTCATAATATTTCGACCTGTTTTTGCACAGATCATCATGAATCTGATGATTGCTGAGATTGATAATGATTACAGGTCATCATCAATCATCAGCGACTTTATGAGGCTTATTTGCAGATTTAGGGCCCTTTTGCAAATGTAAAGATTTTATTTTAGTAATACGTAAAAGAAAAAATTTAAAGAATTTCGGGGCCCTTATAACAGTTTTTCAGGGGTCTGGGACTTAGTAGCCACACTGTAAAGTTTCAAAAATATTTAAAAAACAAATTTAAAAATTGCCTATATTTCTATAGCAAATAATAAAGTATTTCCTTAATATACTGACTAACAAAAGTCACAAATAAATTTTTAATTCATAAAAATAATTATTAAAAAAAAAACTTATAAAAATAATTTATTTTCAATATATTTTTATTTGCTTTTTTCCTCAACTTTTTTATTCTCATTCACTTCCAACAAGGCTGCAAGCAATCACTTTTAAGCTGGAAGTTACTAGAAAAAAAGAATAGAGTTATAGCGCAAGGTAACAGTTGACAAAAGACGTGAAAAGTTGAAGGTTGTATGAGCCAGGAAAACATGAATATAGAAGAGAGTTCCAAAAGGATAAAGTGCGAGGAAAAGAACTAGATGAGTAAAAGTTTTTAGAGCATGCAGGGGCAGATACAGTAAAAGAATGAGACTTTAGTGAATAATAAGTCAAGCTAGAATGAGTTTTAGTTAATTGAACTAGATATGATAGCTCGTTTGAGCAACGACCATAATAGTTTTTGTAGAAAAGAGAAAGATGCAACTTTACGATGATAGAAGAGAGACTCAAGGTTAGCAGATCCAACTAAGTTTACAATGGGTTTTACCTTATCTAGAAAAGAAAGAGCATCATTAGAAGAGCCAGCCCAAATATGACAATAGTATTCCATTCAGGGATGAATATGAGATTTATAGAGGTAAAGAATGGAATCAGGAGTAAGAATATGGAGAGCAGAATTATAAGAGGCTATCTTAGTGTATGCTAATTTAGCAATTGATTGGACTCAGTGAGAGGGTTGCCATTCATTAATATAGGAATTTCAACAGTATTGCAATGGTTGTTTGCAATAAATAACTGAGTTTAGTTGGTATAATATATTTAGTATAGTATTTGTTGGTATAGTATATTTAGTATAGTCTTGTATCAATTTTAGTTGTGGAAAATAACAAACACAGTTAAATATTTAGTTATATTTTTTTTTTTTTTTTAATTTTTTTTTTTTAATCTTTTTTTTTTTCGTTTATTTTATTTAGATTTTGTTTAGTATTTGCTTCTTTGCTTTAAGTATTGCTGTTTTATTCTCTGTTTCTTAAAGCTTAATTTTAGCGCAAATTCTAAAAATGCTTACTATATTGTAATGTGGTCAAAATGTCTTAAAATATTACTTTAAATGTGGGCAAACAAGACATGTGACCACATGCCCTTCCTGGAAAGGCTTGATATATATAAATTTCCTGGAGATCATAATTTAAATATAGATGTTGTCTGCAATAATGAAATTGAATACAAATTTAGAAAATGCAAACATTAATGAAGTATTACAAAACTCAAGAAAAGTTATCAGATTTTTCAGAAAATCTTCAGTAAAAAACAGCCTATTGCAGCAATATGTTGAGGAGAAAAAAAAGTAAAAACTTTCACTTATATTAGACTATAAAACCAGATGGAACTCCCTTATACGTATGAAGGAGGGTTTTGTAAAACTTAAAGTTTGTAACAAAACGCAAGAATTAGGAGAATTAGAGCGGTTAAATTTATACAATGAAGAGGACTTTTTTATCTTGCTAAATTTAATTTAAATATTAAAACCAGCAGAATTTGTAGTAAAAGAACTGAACAAAATAACATCAGCTTTACTCACTGCAGAACGAATACTGACATTTTTGTTTACTCAAATGAGACAAAACTCTACAAGTTTGGAAGCTAACTCTTTAAAAACAAGAGTTTTAGAATGGTGAAATAGAGAATTTTTTAATATAGCCTTAGACTTTTATCGTGACAATGATGTTGACATTGACAATGATGTTAGCTGAAAGTTATTTAGTGATTTTGTGTCATCCTTTTAAAATGAACTAAAAATGTTAAGTGTCACTAAAACAAAAACTGTCTGAAACTTATTAAATGCTCTGGCATCAATTCAACCTACACCAACAGAAAGTGAGAGTTTTTTTATTTACTGGTAATTTATGTACAAAATTATGTCCTATGAAATTTTATCTGTTGGATACATTAGTCTTCTTCAATATTATTTTATTGAAAAACATGATTTTCAAGTAGCAATTACTTTATAACAATATTTTCTATTTGTAGTGCACTTTAAACTGTGTTTTTATTGTTGAAAAAAAAATGATTTTGCTAATTTTTGTTTTCTTAGACTTTTTCTTTGTTTTCTTTAGTTTACAGATCTAATTCTAGTATATAAATTCAGTAGGTTACGTTAAATTTATACAACAATCATAAAAGTTTGCTTTTATAAAAAAATACAAATGGTGTTTTATATTTTTATAAAAGCAAAATTTAAAAAAATTAAAAACCAGGTTATCCATGTTGTCTTTCAGCCAAAACCTTTGAATTAATTGTAAAAATGTAAGTTTGATTGACTTGAATGTTTTTTTTTTTTTTAATGCAGAATATATTTGTTTTGTTTTTAAATATTTTATACTGTTTTTATTATATTTGATTGTTTTTTTTTATTTTTGTTTTATTGACTAATTTATTTAAGAATTAGTGCAGCATAGTGTATAAAAATAGATTGACTTCTGTTCTGTTCTCATGTTCTAAAAACATTCTGAATATTTTTATATTTTTACTATTAACATACATTGACTGACAAATAGGTCGAACACGCAAGGAGCTGCTATATTGACTAACAAATAGGTTGAACATACATAGAGTGCTGCTACATTGACTGACAAATAAGTTGAACATACATAAAGTACTGCTACATTGACTGAGAGTTTTGGTTTAGGCAGGAAATCTGTCAAATAATTTTTTTTTTCTTACTTTATACATATATATATATATATATATATATATATATATATATATATATATATATATATATATATATATATATATATATATATATATATATATATATATATATATATATACATACATATATATATATATATATATATATATATATATACACATATATATATATATATATATATATATATATATATATATATATATATATATATATATATATATGTATATATATATATACATACATATATATATATATATATATATATATATATATATATATATATATATATATATATACACATATATATATATATATATATATATATATATATATATATATATATATATATATATATATATATATATATATATATATATATATATATATATAAATATATATATATATATATATTTTTTTTTTTTTTTAACATCTTCACTTCCATCAAGGCTGCATATAACTACTAGCAGAGTTGGAAGTGACTGGAAAAAAAAAAGATGAAGTTTAAAGAACAAGATAGCGTTTAACAGAGGACTTAAAAGATTGCAAATTATGTGAATCAGGAAAACAAGATGAGAGGAGCAAATTCCGAAAACCTGATGTTTGAGGAAAAAAACTAGATGAATAAGAATTTTTTAAGCACTTGGGAACAGTCACACTAAAAGAATAAGACTTATTTGAATAACGAGTAAAACAAAAATGAATTTTAGTAGATGGCACAAGAGACAGTAGTTTTTTAGAGCATAGCCCACTACAGTATACAGTATTTATCTCAACATTACCACAATAATGGTTGGAGGTTGATAGTGGTTGGAGGTTGGCTGCAAGAGCAGGTCCAACTATGTTTGTAATGCGTTTTTCCACCTTGTCTAAAAAAGAAAGGGCATCATTTGAAGATCCACCCAGATATGGCAACAGTATTCCGTACTAGTACTGATTTGAGATTTATAAAGAATAGAATCCTGAGTTAAAAAGTGGCAAGCACAATAAAGAGATGGAACCTTAGCAGATGCTAATTTTGCAATAGATTTGATATATGGTTTTTAAAAAAGATTGGAAGTAAAAGTTAAAAGAAGTATAGGACCAATAATAGAACCTTGGGAACCCTTGATGTTATAGGATATGATAAGAGTGCTTTCTTTTCCAGAAGCACATTTGTTAGCAGGAAGATTTCTACCCAAGAGCCATCATGAAGAAAAACACAGATAGAGTCCTATTTAGCTTTAAGGTA